CGTTGATCAGATATCGATAGCTATGTGAACAAAACAGTTTTTTATCAACCGTTAATTGTTTCACCGTCCATTTTTTTTATACAAAACTGATTTGATCACATAGCTATTGATATCCGATCAACGTGATTTTTTACAGACATGTAGCACTCGACGAGTTCTACACATTGAACGGTTCGGATTATCAAAACGGGCCCAAGAAATGGACCCCATGGGCCGAACTGGACGGGTCCAGTCTTGATCTCAACTTGAGACAAACTGGACCATTCTCAAAATATCTTTAGTGAGTAATTTAATATTTTAAAATTTAAAATAATATAACTTTTGATCTAAATGTTGATTTTTAATAAAATTAGTATTGTTAGAAACCTCTCATCAAGATCTATCAAATAAGATTTGGATTGACTATGAAATTCTTTAAATAAAAAATATATATTGTTGAAATTGACGTTATAGTAACATTTTACTTTTTGTTTTGAATAGGACATCAACAACAAAAAACAAAGTATGACCCTTCCTGCATATGAACTCACACTATTACTAAAGATGCGGAAACGAAATCTGTTGAGTGGGCAATCTCCTAGTGGACGAATAAACAGGTCTAATTGATAGGTAGGAAGGCAACTTAAGCAGCCGTCGATACCTCTGAAGGCATTTAACTTCTTTTCCTACTTTCCTTTCCTTTCCTTCACTTTCCATCCAATCCTTCAATCTTTTCTCTGAGCTTTTGTTTGAAATTCAATTCTCTTCAATCTAAACAACAACCCCGAAACTCTTTGTTGCAAAAATGAACTCAATGCTGAGGGTTTCATCATCAATGACCACTATGCACGTTCCTTCTCTACTCAAGCCTCAATTTTAAAGGACCTTGTTGTTTGGTTTCAAAGAAAAACACCGCAATTTTAGAATCCATGCCATGTCCAACAACATTGTTTCTTGATCTTGCCCTACATGAAGCTTTATTCAAATCTCTTATAAGGCATAGTTGTCCAAGAAAAAGGAAAAAATATTAATTTGTCCTTTATGAAGGACACGCTTCCTACGCAAGGAGTTTAGGAAGTAAAATATTTTGGGTTGCCCTCTACACACTAGCATATTGGACCTAGGGGGTTTTGGCTAAATTTTCCTAAATAAAATCTTATCACTTTTTTTTTTCTTTTTTTTTTTCTTTGTTCTTATTTCCGGAATCCCATACGTTTTCCACACAGTTGAGATAATGTGGTGCCATTTTTCAACTTATTAATTGACATGAGAAAAAATAGGATCTAAGGAATTATTTTGTGTTTGGCATGAGATACTAAATGTTTAACCACATCAAATCTTAATTATATTTTTTTAGGGTAATGTACAGTCAAGTCCTGTTTTGACAATTAATGGTAACTTAGGTCCAACTCACAAAACTTTAAACCTATAAGTTCTATGTTAATTTTATATGACCAATCTACCCTTACAAATTGAAAACCCTAAACATTTTGTTCCTCACACTCTCTCTGACTCTCTCTCTCTCTCTCTCTCTCTCTCTCTCTTTGAAAATGTGTGTGGTGAGTATTGAGAAAATAATGATGTTATTAGCACCTACCTAAATTCTTTGGACCCTTCAATTTATAATTTTTTTATTACAATTTTACCCTAAAGTAAAATTACATTGAAAGACATTATTTAATAGAACACCCACCAATCAAATAAGAACTAACACTCTATAATATTGGACACCCACCCCCCACCTCCACATCCAACTCCACCTCCACCTCCACCTCCACCTCCACCTCCACCTATACGTATTCTATGTTTGTAAACCCTAAACCTATTACTCTTCATAACCAACCAACATAAACCCTAAATCTATTATTCTTCATAATCATCTTAAATCTTGAATGTGTCATCTTTACCACCATCATTAACCCTATTGAACCAGAAAGTTTTGCTTCAAGTATAATGTATACTTCATCACTTATTTCATAGTGTAGAGCAATGGAGGACGAGGACAACAATTCTAATGAGACTGGTTCAATACATGGGTTCCGAATATTAATCAGATAGTCAGTACTGTTGAACCGAATATAATATTTATTTTCGTCACTGTTCAACCAAACATAATTTTTTCAACTTTGAATCACATTCACATATGTTTTCAGGATGATGCTTTGACTAGAGGCAGTAAGGTTGGTTCAAAATTTGTAATGGATTATAATGATGAATTTGTCACTCATGAGGTGAGTCTTTGATTGTTTTAGAAATAATGTACATTTTTTGTCCTTTTTTATGTGCAATAATTGGTTAGTTTAATTTATTTATTTCAGATATTCAAGAGTTGAGATGAGTCAATTCGATGGGCACGTCAAGTTGGGAGAAGAAATGGATTTGTTATTGTCATGCAGAAATCAGATGGGGAGTGGTATTCGTGGTAGGAAGCCAAGACTAACTGGTACTAAAAAATGTGAATGTCTTTTTTTATTGAAGGGCAAAAAATTAGCCACAAATGATAACTGGATCTTGATGGTTATTTGTGGTATGTATAATCATCTTACTGTAGAATATCGTGAGGGTCATTCTTATGTTGGAAGATTGTCATATAAGGAAACCTCTTTATTGGTAGACATGTTGAAGAGTATGGTACGACCGAGTGAGATAATGGTTACATTGAAACAACATGATGATGCAAATGCTTCCACAATGAAGACAATTTACAATGCACGTCATAGGTATAAAGTTGCTAAGAAAGCTGGAAGATCTCAAATGCAACAACTATTGGGTCAGTTAGCAGTCAGCAAGTACATTGAGTGGCGTAGGAGCTGTGTGGATACTAAGACAGTGACTGATTTGTTCTTTGCACATCCTACTAGTTTGAATTTGTTATGTGCATTTCCAAAAGTATTGTTGATGGATTGTACTTATAAGACCAATCGACATCAGTTGCCTCTTCTGGAGATTGTAGGTATGACATTGACATACACAACATTTTCAATTGCATTTGCATAGTATGAGAATGAGGATAACTGTGCATGGGCACTTGGTATTTTGCATAGTGTCATGGATAAAAATACTTTTCCTTTTGTTATTATCACAGATAAAGATTTGGCAATTATGAATGCCATATGTATGGTGTTTCTTGGAACTACATTTTTTTTTTTTTTTTTTTGTTGTAGATGACATATTGGTAGGAGGCTGTATACAGTTCCAGAGTACAACATTTCAAATCAGTCATTAGCCTAGACGTAGCCACAATCGAAACAGTAGACTTGGATAAGGACTAATGTTATATGAGTGAGATAGGAAATACAATTAGAATGGATTTAAATTATGTTATTTTCTTTGTTATACTAAATTAGAATGGAAAAGAGTGAATTAGAATGAATTTAAGTTATGCTATTTTCTTTGTTATAATGAATTAGAATGGTAAATAGTAAATTGAAATGAATGTTATTTTTTGTGTTATACTAAATTGAAGTTGACGAAAAAAGTGAATTGGAATGGATTCAAGTTACACAGTGGTGAACAAATTTTGTTCGGACATACAGTGATGACAGGATCACTAATGCTCGACAAAACAGTTCTGAACAAAGAAGATTAGTTTGGCAACACAGTGCTGAACGAATTGTTTTTATTCAGTTTTACAGTGCTGAAGTGATTAGGGTAGCAATTGTGATTGGGCCAGCAGAAATTTATGTTCGGCACTACAGTATTGAAAAAAAACTTATATGTTTAGCATTACAGTACTAAACGAAGACTATCTGTTCGGCATTATAATGCTAAATAAGTCATTTTTATTCGGTTTTACAGTGCTGAACGATGAGGATTTGTTCGGTTAGTCAGTGATGAACATGAAATTCCCGTTTATTTATTAGTCATTGCAATAAACAAACCAATATTTCAAACAGACAAACTATCAAACCAATTCAAATCATCAAACCAATTCTAGACAAATCAATATCATTGCTAAACCATCAAACACCATCAAACTAATTCATTAAGTGCCCAAAAAGGTATGGCGAAGTCATATACAAGCCTAGCTCATACTTGTGTCATATACAAACCACCATCAAAATGTATGCCAAAAATATTTCTCAAACAAACTAACATATACTAAAGTGTTATCTGACCTTTGTTATACTTGTGTCTAATATGTAATAAAGTCTAACATATGTTTGAGATTAAGATTTCAAAAAGCACATTTAAAACATTTGAAACCAACAAATACTAAAGCCTAAGATGTTGCTCCACGTTTCGTGCGACGAGTATACACCAAGTTCTTTGATGGTGTATGTTCTTCACTAGACTATTAGCCCTCCAAGACTTGTGTTATCTTCTTCATAGCATTGCGTAACATATCTCGAGTGGGAGCTACTTCATTGTATCCCATTTCGACCATTGAACGTGAAATGCTCAAGGCACTGTCAATGCGCTGCAAACAAGAAAATAAAACTTAACAATTGCCTTAAACAAAATATATATAAGAAAATTAAAAGGTTAAAAGTTAACACACAAATTAAAGTTGACGATAATCAGCTGATGTCTTAGTGCGTGGGTTATACTTAGAACGATGTGTCGGGTTTTGAACTTGCACGTGTGAAATGGAAGTAAACCAATCCAAGTAACATGACACATAATCCCATGGATGCAAGACTGGAACACTACGCTCCGTCTTAAACAACAAGTGATTTTCCCAACTCTCCCAAATCGTATCCAAGTATTTACATGCAATGTTGTACTATTTTGCAGTGGATCGTCTAAAGGCTCGAACTAAAGCAAGCGGAGGTGAGGGAATAGTTTGCACCCTGCCAAACTGTCTCAGCACCCTATCCAGATGGTATGGTTCAACAATGTGCATACATTTTAAGCATCCACTATAGTAAGCAACATCAGAAAAATGGTGCTTAATACGCTTATCATGGTATGGGTCCCAAATAACCTACAACAGTCAAATATTTATACGTAAGTTATGAATAGGTTGAATAATAGCAAGTAATATGTACATACACGGAGTTAAGATTGACAGTTACGTCATGGGTCTCTAATCTGTCAAGGTCCTCTTGTAACCTTTGTAGAATAGACGTTGATGAACCAAATTGGATGCAAGAAATCCAACGAAAGACACAAGGATGATCTTCTTTATAGTCCAAATTGGGGTGGGGTCTAGCACCAACAAAATACTCGTAAATCCAAACTTCCAGCAATGTCATGTATCTCGCTATCTGTTTCACAACATACCTTGTGCCAGTACCCAATTGCTGGTATAAAAAAGCCAATGCGGCTGCACCCCAAGCATAAGAAGCAACCAATTGCAAATCCATAAGAAAAGACAAATACCCTACCGAAACACGTGTTCCAAAAACCCCATACTGCCTGCAAACCCAAATGTTTGATATCCAATAGTGGATGAATCAACTACCTTAGCATGGCCTATTACTAGAGTACAAGTATTAGGTGCATGCATGGGTTTCTTATTCTTTAAGACTGTGTTTGGATCATGGATTTCGGTAAAAATTTGGAAAGGAAAAGGGAAAAAGTGTGTGAAATGTAGTTATATTTCATTCATATTTCACCTACATTTTTCATTTCTCTTTTCAAATCCCTATCCAAATCCATGAACCAAACGTAGCCTAAAAAAAAAAATTAGAGAATCAAAATATTTAAATAGGGTATTGATGTCGGACACATATCTTAGACCATTATCCTTTTCATATTTAGTAGACATAGGTAAAAAGAGTGGTCATCTACTTGAAAAGCAAAAGCATTGTAGTGACACAATTGTTAGGGATCACCTCATTTTTTAAAAATAGGCATAAAATAATTTAAGTGCGTGGGCAGACAAAGAGTAGATTATGCAAAACCTTTCATTATCCCATTGTAGCGAACTTAAAAATTTGAGCGATAAGCCCTTGATCTAATCCAAAACTAAATGCTCCTGTAGTCCTATTGTCTTGCCAAAAAATTGTGCAAGACATTCAAATTAACTTTGTTATGTTCATTACTGGATGTTGAAGCTCCATTCTATAACTTTTCCCTCAAGTCATAGCATAAAGATCCCTAGAATTAAAAGTTCAACAGTAATGTCAATTTTGATTTGCAACGAGGGTTGACATAAAATACATTTGCATTAGTCTTTAACATTTAGAAACTTTGAGCTTCTTTAAGTGGCGGAGAATAAAAGAACGAGAAAAGGATCTAAGAATCACTTCGGTCCATGCACATAGGTTTATAAAACGTGTGCGAGGAGAAAACCAATCGATAACTATATGCAATTCCAAAACCCCAAAAGCTTTCAAGAGGCGATTTCAATAATAGAAAAAACAAACAGAGCAGACCAAACAACGGAAACATAATTAAACCACACCACCACATATTATCAATCTAAGGGTCTGTTACAAGAATCATGTAGCTAAAACCAAAATAATTGCAACTAGGTTTTGGTAAAGGCAAAATTGAATTGATATAAGTGTAAAGAAATTAAACATTTACATAATATTTTCTCATTATAAACTGTGAGATCATGGATCATTTCAAATTGCTCTTTTTGTCAACGGTTCTGAATTTAGTTAACTTCAGTTTCATAAAAGCAATGTGCATATGTGTCATGGAAATACTTAATAGTTCACAGAAGAGCATAAATAATCTCCTACTTTAGTTCCTCAAATCTTGACAAGCATACTAACCATTTTACTAGACATACCCAAAAACTTGTCCCTTTCTTCTGAAGTAACTATTGACAGAACAAGTAATTTCTCCATGCTCTACACGGTGAGAAAGGAACAAGAAAATATTTTCATCCAGAACATATCTTACAATGATATGAAATTGAGAAAGTGACAGAATTCACTGTAATATAACTTCAAAAAATATTGTCATATACAAAACCTAAAAATGTTAGATCTTGTCAACAAAGATGTTGATTGTCATGCTTTAGATAGAATAAAATGAACAAAAAGGCTTTTGTGTATAGCCTTGGAATAAATCTGTAGAGGTCCTAACTCCTAATTTAAGATACTTGATGATGTCTTGGTTGTAGAAGGAAATGAACCACATAATCTCACAAGATGTAGTTGAGACAACTCGCTCTTACTAAATATATATATATATATATAACAAAATAAAAGAAACAAGACTTTGAACTATGAAATAAAAGAAGCAGCCTTTGATTTAACATTCCACTTCTTAGCTCATACTCTGTCAAAAAGATTCACTATTATCAAGTTTGTTTAGGTTAAGTCTCTTCATTGGAGTTTATTCCCCCACCCCACTCAAACATTGTGTCTCTTTTCTTGCACTTCTCTATTTTTCTTTTCTTGTAGGACCATCTGCCCACTCTGATAAGAAAGACACCACTATTTTCTCAAAAAATTTATTCTTTTGTTTTATGGGGACATTTGCCCACCTCTTCCCTCTTGTTAAACAAAAATGAAAAATTTTCAATCACAAAATAGTAAAGAAAAACAAGCAAACACACAAAACACTAGATATACATGGTTCAGCAATGTGCCTACTACGTCCATGGGGGTTGGAATCAAATCAACAATAAGGATTAAAAAACTCTGAACTTCTCAAATCAATTGATCCACAATGTTGTCACACTCTCTTATGCTTGTCATTTTGCTATAGCTCTTATTTCTTTTGTTGGATTTGAATTTTGAGTCTCTCTCTTCCTCATGGATTTGGATTTAGATGGGACAGTCAAGACTTTGTTTTCTTGTGTATTTGTTCATCAATTTCTGTTTTGTAAAGAGAAAAGGATTTTCAAAAAATGGAGAATAAATAACTTCTTTTTCAGTTATATGTTTTCAGGTTTTGTTACTTCATTTGGGGTTGTTTTTTCCTTTTTAATACCCTTTTTGATAGGGTAATTTATATGGATAAATTGGGCCGCACAAAGGACCCGGGTATGGGGCGTGGTAGGGGCTTTAGGTAGCTCGGTTTTGGGACAGGCTGACATCGATCCAGTCAACTGTGTCACCGAGGCTTCCACTTAGCTGTCTAAAAGGAAG